AGGACTACACTCACCCAGACGATCACAGTACACTTTTACATGTTACCCCTGCGTTCAAACCATTTACTGCCTTAACAGACTTAATATGCAAAGAAGACAACTGACACTGTGATGAAGCCACTTCCACAATTCAATCTTAAATAAAGGTGCAAAGGACCCTACAACTGATTAACAATTGTTAGGCCGATCACTAAGAATGTTATTTTCTAATTATCATCACCTCCTGATTTGATCAAAGTTTGTGATTTTGTAGTCTCCTTGACTGACTTGTGATTGTAATTTCTCTAGCTGAAGGCTAAGTCTTTGCACCCTTTGTTCTGTCTCTGCACGCGCCATGCGTTCATCTTCAGCCTCCTAAATATTGCAAAGATGATGTCAAAGTTAGTTTTTAGTAATGAACTGTTGCAAGCTCCCACACTTCTCAATAATTAATTTATTTGATAAATTAAAAGTTTGGTTTTAATGTGAAGTAAAGGCATTGTCAGGGGCAACATGCATCACCAACTGTCAAATGCTGAAGCCTGCCACAAGAAGTCTAACGATACATGGTCACCTGAAATGGAGCCAGTTGCCAGCATGATTTTCAAGTCAAAACATAGTGGCCAAACTTCCTTAGAGCCTCACTCAAATATAAATCACACTATAATGCTTTTGTCATGAAAGAAATAAAAGACAGAATTGTAACTTCCAAGTATTCAAACAAAGATAAATTTGAACAACTGATTAGACAAAGGAAAATGGACAGTGACAGACAGAGAAAAACATCTCCATGACTAGTAAACAATTTTGGATAAAATAAATTTGATATAATAGCATACTCAAAGGGGTGCCTGATGGCTTCACATCAACAAGAAAAAAAAAATGAAACAATAGGATCTTAATACTCAAACGGAAGTCTGCAGGGAAGGAAAAGTACCACATGCTCTCTATGTACAACAAGAATTTATTTCACCTTTTGAAAAAATGCAGTCTCCTCTTCTTTAGTGTGAAGTTGATGGGTCAAAGTTTCTATCTGTTCGCGAAGACTTGAACATTCCAAAGCCAAAGGATGTCGGGCTTCATAGACTTTAATCTGTAAGAGTTTTCATGAGATATGATGTCTACAAGGCTCCGACAATGGTAAATTCTTGATGTTTAGTTTGTGTTGGGGAATCAAAACTAGTAATCCAGGGGAAAAAATTGTGAAGAGGGTGGAAAATAAATGCAAACTCAACCTGGAAAAAAAATAATCAAGTTCAGAAAAGGCAACATAGTTAAAAACAGAGGAAAGTAAGTTCTCCTGCTACTGCACCATCTACAAGTAGTGGATAGCAGTCAAAGGAACATTGGCATTGATGCAAAATCGATCTTACTAGAGCCTGGTTTACTATCTTCAGAATGAACACCCGTGAAAACAGGTTATGCAACTAACCATTACGAATTCCCTCAAGGAAAGTTCTTCTGAGTCTTTCGATTTTAAATCCAAGTACAGCTCATCGGATAATTGTTCAAGATCAATCAACCCTTTTCTATAGTCCACTGCCTTTTCTTGCAACTTCTTGTTCTCGATTTCCAAAAGCTGCTGTCGTTTGAAGATTTTGGCCATTTCAAGCCTCGTTCGTTCGAGAGAACTCTTAGCTTCCTCTTGTTGAAGTTTCAGCTGCGACTCGAGTCTTGCCTGAAGAATCTGTTTCTCATGTCGAGTATCGCCTAAAAGTTCCTCTAACTCGTCCACTTTGCTTAAGTGTTCAACTTTCATGTTGTCGATTATGAGGTTTTTCTGACTCAACTCGATGCGAACAAGTTCCAAGTCGTGCAGTAGCTGTTTGCGTTCAATTTCATGTTTAGTTATCCTGTTTTCCACCTCGCTGTCTACTTGGGTGGACGAAAGAGCCGAGCTTGTCAACAAAGTTGAAGATTCAACATCGGTTGTATTTTCCAAATTTTCAGTGATATCATGTTCCGTTCGCAGTGTACTGTTACCATTATTTTCGCTCGCATGAGAACTTCTGGAGCTACCACTTCCTCTCTGTGACATTTTAAAAGCCAAAACTAATGCAACTTCAGCAGGTAAGAGCAAAAACAAATGCACAACAGGCAGCCGCCATTTTTCAAATTGACCGTTTAATAGGTGGTGTAACTATCACATAGTGAATCACCCCTTATCTGGGCGGAAACATGGACCTCGTTCTTAGGGACCCTGACGAGGAGGAAAACGGTCGAATGTAAACTGGAAAGCTTTGGTAAAGGGATAGTTTCCCCAACATCCACCGTTTTTCGCTCATCCACTCGTTCTAACACTCTTCTTCTCTAACCGAGAGCCCTGCAGCTTTTGCAGGCCTCTCGGGAAAAAAAGAGGGGGATTATTCATTTTGCTGGGATTGTTTTCGTTTCATATTTTCCTAAGCCAAATGAATAAGAGGGAAGGAAAAAGAAAAAGCACGACCAGCTATTCTTTAGAGACGAACTTTAGACAAGGGCAGTTGTAACCTAATCGTAATCTCCCTTTAAAAGATGGTTTTACCTCGAGCGGAAGTCGAAATCGTCAACTGAAAGTCCCTGCAATCCCTTAATTTGTCTCATTGTTTTTTTTGTTGTTGTTGTTTTTTTTTGTTTTTTTTCTTGCAAGAGCGGAGAGGGAAGATTTGAAGAGAAGAAAGAATTGGCCATGAATATCAAGTTAGCATAGAGCGAACGTTGGCGCCGTTAGTTAAAGGAGTAAGTGCTGCAAAAAACGAAAATGAAAAAATCCTCAGTGGAAGAATCTTTAAGATTTTTACCTGTTGCTGACCCTCCGAAAGTATCCAGCGTGATCTAATACCTCAATTCGCGTACTTAGTTACGTCGAAAGATAATACGGAATTACCTTGGTTTCGTTGTACTTTGGTCAGTGATTGTTCCTGAAAACTCGCGCCAAACTCCAAACCAATCAGACGTCAAATAAATGTCGTGTAAGCTTTAAACACTGAATGAATTTATGAAGAATACCGTTTTCAGACTGTGTACACTGGTTAATATCACCCGAAAGGCACGGCGATGGACCCCACGAGGGAAGCAGCTCTTAGAGAAGGGATGTGGAGTCCGAAGCGACTCATCGATCTAGACTTGACCCAAACCTTTTGTTGTGATTGGCTATTGTGAATTCTTTGGTTTTGGTTTTTCGATAGTCAACTGAAAACTGCTCTCATCCAACAAACCCCATCTAGTAAGCTCACTGTATCTCACAAGCGCGCTCAGGAGCCGCGAAGGAAAACAAGAGAACTAGACGTATCTCAGTGAACCATTTAATACATAGTTTGTTTCAACACTCTCTACTTATTCGTGGCAAACAACGCACCATAACGCCACGTTACAGTTCAGCAAATGTGTCGACCACGTAAGATGTTCATACCAAATCTAAAACCGAAAGTGTAGTTGACGATGTAGGGACACACCATCACGAAAATTTTAAGTATTTACATTTCTTCAAACGCTTTATAACTTCTTTACCTTTAACTTATAGGAAATCTTAATCTACAAATCTTCTTGCTGGCCAAGCGAAATAAACCAAAACAAAACAAAAAAAAACAGTCGCTAGCAACAAGTCTTCTAGGCAACACAATTACTCGTAAAAAAAACCTAACTCAATCTTTCCCAACGAGCAGGCAATCCCAACAACTCATTCTAAATGTTCGTCTTATCAACACTCCTGAAATTTCCCTTGTCGCAGTGTAGTGCACTGTGGCGTCCTTAAGTCACAGAATGTTGATTGTTCTCGGAGTTTGTACGTATTCAAGAAACAGAGCGATTAAAACAACTCCTAATATTCATATGGCGATATGATCAGCCTCAAGTCCACTTTCGTGTCTTCTCCAAATCTTGATCAGTAGACCTTCAAGGTCGTGTGCGTATTGCCTCGTATTGAAAAGTGGACTGCGAAGGCGTGCGTTCCATACTTTATCCTTCACTTTCTTAAGGCTGAAGATACGAGAAAAGTCAAGTTTTAATTAATTGTGCTATCATTAACAAATGAGTTGAAATCCTTATTAGAACCCAACTTGCGTGAACGACTAAAATTCCTACCCCCTGTATGGAAACTTGGCCAAAGTCAGAAGTTTGACCCAAACATTTCTTTTGAAATGATTGAAAAAAGGATAACTGATGACCAATCTCAAAAGAACTTTAAACTAAGCGTGACGGATTAGGGCACTTGACTAAGGTAGTAAAGAGCATAAAACAAACAAATAAAACAAAAACAATAACAAAAAAAAACAAACAGACAAATTCAAACAATTTCACCCTACTCGTCAATTACTTACAGTACAAAGACAAGATGCAACACAACTCCAAAAAACACTTACTAGTTAGAGTCGTTTCCAAGTCTGATAGCTATATTTTCGTACTCCTCTCGACTATTTGCTATCAGCTCTGGACAGCCAAGCGCTGTAAGCTGGGATGAAGCTACTCGGGATGCTAACGTTTCGAGAGGAAGCGTCACCATGGGACAACCAGCCCACAAAACATCCATGCCGGTTGTGTGGCCATTGCACAGAGGAGTATCCAGGCAGACGTCAGCCAGCTGACCACGGCGAACATGTTCTTCTTTAGGCGCCACTGGAGAGAAGATTACGCGCTCTTGGGAAAGCCCCATCGCCATGGCTTGTGCTTTCAGCTTGGGTTCTCCTACTGCAGGAAATCTGAGCAACCAAAGCACAGAGTTGGGAACTTCTTTAAGGATGTTTACCCAGCTTCGTAGAGTCGGCGGGTCGATCTTGTACAACTGATTGAAGTTACAATAGACGATGGCTTCCTCAGGTAGGCCATAATGCGAGCGCGTGATGATAGGTACAGTCGAAGGGATCCTCTCACCCCTGTCCTTGCATCCAGAGTATTCTCTCTTCTTTTCTTCGATCAATGCCCCAACCTTTGGTACCAAATTTGGGTCGTTTTTCTCGTCATCGAGCAGTACCGCCGCAGCATGAGATGGTACTAAGCCATTTTTTGTTACTTCTGCAATGATTTGGTTACTAGGCGCGCGCAGGTACTGAATAAGGTGCGGAAACATCTGCTTGTGGTCACCAACAAAGAATGTATGAGGCATGTAAGCCAGCCTCTCCGAGTACTGATCAGCCAACTCGAGGGGTGAGGTGACTTTATCAGTGATGATATAGTCCATATATGGAGCACCACTAGTTCCAGGGTAACCCAGCCACATTACCTGTGGAGATAATGGGGAACAGTTCAAATTTGCACACTGCAGTCTTGCCAAACCATAACTTACCACACAAGTTTTCTGTCTTCAACAACCTTAAACTCCCAAAACTCTTTGTTAATTTATACTTCCTCGTAATGAGAATTTGTTGCTACAATACATGCTGCAGGAATAGAAGCATTACAAGAGCGTTTCATGCGTGAAAATCCGCGTTACGAGCGAATAAAAGAAATACACAAATGCGTGCACATCAAGATAAAACCGTCCCGCTGTTTCATTTCCCAATCATTTTAATTCTTTAACTCCTACCTGACTGGTATATAATTTCACCGACAAAAGTCACGAGAATTATGAAAATCACCCGTCAACTCAGGAGGCTCTTGATTGTCAAGAAATATACTGAGGACAGTATGGAGATTATAAATACTGATTCTAGGTTGGAAAGGGTTACAGATTTTGAAATTGTGCAGAGAAGTTCTACGTCAATCTCAGAGATGAATGGTAAAACACCTTGAAGAGACTCAATTTTGTATTATTTTTCAGAACATCTTTCATGTTACAAAGGTGCATTTTGGAGTACAAAGTATAATTACTTCGCTTGAGCTCACACTTGAGTTCAGGCCATTTTATCCAGTATGGTCAATACTTTACCAAGTAGCAGTTGTGGCCCTTGGTGAAATTAACCACAGCTTGTTATATTGCTGGAGTTAATTTACTTTTTCTGTAAAATAAATCAACACTACACAAATTATTCAATTACCTGTACTGGCGCAGGACGAAGAGCAAAGATTTCATTTCTAGCTCCTTTGGTGTAGCCATTCATGTTGACAAGGACATGAATGCCATCCGAATTAATGCGATCAGCAGCTTCTCCATGGCAAGCGATTGACGATAGATCAACAAAATGCTCTGCATCTCCTTCAATCTTTCTTCTGAAGCTGGTGCTGTCATCAGCAGTGAGGGCATAACAGAATATCTGGAGAATCATTATCAAGACCATGAGTGAAGTAACAAGAATAAAACTACCACAAGTCAGGCAGATTCACACTAGGATTAAATAAAAAAAAGTCAAAATACTAGAACAGAAAAAGGAAAACATTCTCAACCCCATTAAGTGTCATCAAATGAAATTCTTTGATACCCTTACCGAGTGTTAACCCAATAATAATAATCCATTTATATAGCACCTTTTCTACAAGATTCAAAGGTGCCGTTTGCAAAAATTTAATAAAGCTAGAAAGTAAAAATAATCACAAGAAATTGACATTAAAACTAGGCACTAGCTACACAATAGATAGGAACTATTTATCAATTCATAAACATCACAATTCGTAAGCTCAAATAAAAAGAAATGTTTTAAGTTTGCGTTTAAAATCGTCAATTGAGTTTGCAGATTTAATATCCTCAGGTAAGTTATTCCAATTCCATTAACCCTTTAAGAGTAACCAGCATCTAATTTCTCACAGTATAACCCCTGAATCAAACATTTAGGGCACGAGAGTAATGGAAAAGATCAACAATTACAGAAGCTTTAGATTGTTACACAAATTCTCCTTGTCAGCACCTTAGGAAACATATAGAGAACAGTATGGAGAATATGCCTACTGATGTTAGCGTGTGAACGCTTAACACCCTTTAAAAGTGACTGGCTTCTGGTTTCTCCTAGCACCATCACCCACAATCAAATGTACAGGTCATGAGAATAATAGAAATGATCACCAATTTATAAAAAGCTGCTGGCCATCAAAACAAATTCTCACTGTCATCACCGTACAAAATGTAGCGAGACAAGCGAGGAGAATGGTACTACTTATGTAAGGGTAAAAAGAGTTAACTGCGATCTCACCCAAAGTTCCACACAGCAAAAAACAAAATGATCACTAACCTCAACCCTATTTGGGTCATGAAATCCTGGAA